GTATAATAAAACGACATAGTCTTACGTTTCATTAACCAACAATTAGACACTCGGTAACAGAACCGCTTACTCTGTCGCCTTCTTGAAGATCAAACACTTCATCCAATTTCCTGCAAAGCCCTAGCGTCACTACTTTAGATACAGTTAAGCATACATTGTAAAAACAATACCTGCTGCGTATATGATAATTGTGAAATATAATGCTTATGTGACAAACAGGACAAGATAAACAACGACATAAAAAGAGTTTTAAGAACAAAGCGGGAACTTACTCCACAACTGGTAAATAACAAGCAAGCGAAGAGATTAATTTAAAGGAACGAAGAGATTAAATAAAAGAAACAACGAAATGGAAATGAGGCACAGTATGAAGAAAAAACTGCCAAAAACAATAAATAGAATTTTCAAGTTTTTCCACGAAGCATATAAAGACATTTTAAAGAATCCACTCTTGCTTTTACATATATGCTTACTCTCGACGTTTCCGACTTTCCAAGTAACTTAGTGAAAACGCTTCGATGTCAAAATGAAAACATAGTTGTCGTACCTGAAAAAAAAGATCCCGATTAAGTAAAAGAGAAAAGACTGAATATACCATCAGGTCCTATAATTTAGAAATATTTCCCGCAAGCACTGCGTGCAACAAACCTCCAACAGCATCTAAACACGATCTTACAGCTTCTAAAAATTCGTATTTCAGGGCAGTTAGAAACTGTTCAATGCAGTAATCCCAACTTAAATCGTTTTAAAGGCATCTCATTAAAAAACTGCTTGAAGTGAAAATGCACGACAATCCTACTACTACAGAGTTTCCACTACTGTTTACAAAAAAGCAACAACTGACCAAACAAATTCCATAGTGCAAATGCGCTAAGGTGACAGCAATCGCTACAAACCGCAACAGATACATCTCTGCGTCAGCACTTAAAAAGCCAAATATTGATACAGAGACGGCAAAACAATACAAAACGAGCAAATTATTCACCGGCTTTACCCGAGTATAGGACATCTGCGCGATAATTAAACTGCACTAAAACAAATTCCCACACTGCAAAACTTTCTCAAGAATTGTAGAGCGATAATCCCGGTTAAGCAGTTCAGTAGAATATTAGTTAAACAACGCCCGCAATTAGCATCTCGTGAAAAAATTCCCAAGTCCCACCTGAGATGATAAAAAACTTACAGCAATATTAGAAAAAACCGTTCCCACTGTCCAGAGAAATAAACGAGGATCTCTTTCAATAACTGAACTTGGCGAGTAAATCGCCCAGAGTAAAGAGGAAGCAAAAAGAGTGATAGCAGGAAACATAGGTAAACACGCTTCGTAAACATTGGGCTAAACAAAATAACGTTGGCAGACTGTTCGTATACCAACGAATGGCTCATTTGGGTTTCTTGAAAATTATGTTTCCATACAAAAAAGTGCACAACAAGGAAAAAACGAATATTAAACATGATTAAAGAATTAGAAAAATGAATCGCTAAAAAGAATGACTTGTCACGCACCTGTTTTCCACTTTTTTCTTTCATGTATGAATAATACAGATTGTATAAAGACATCAGTAAGGACATCAAACAGCAACCTAGAAAAAAATATAACCGAAAATGAAATCAAAACAATTAAATAATACACAACAGAAAAACAAAAAAAAATTCACACCAAAATTCAGCGAAGATAAATAAGCCTTAAAAAAGAGAGAAAGTCAAGATTAAAAAAAATGAAGATCTTTCAAAGACGAACCTTCACTTTTTAGATTTCCCGACATTTTCAAAAAAGCCAAGCTCAAACAACTTATAAAGTCCACTCATATGAGTAAATTGACAAAGCTAAAAACTGCTGCTATTGAGTCTAAAAATTTTTAAAGAAATGTACAAAAACATACAGTAAAATCCCGCTTCCATGCAATTCGCAAAGGATATACCGTCAAAAACGTAAAATTTAAACCATTCGTAGCCGACCAAGTATGTCAGTAGGTAAAACAATGCCAGTCCCTAAACAGTCAGTAAAATAAATCCAAGCACGACTGCAAAAAAATAAATAGTTAAAATAAGTTAAACAAATATCATAAAAAACCAAATTAAATTATGCTCATAGACATTCAATGAAGCAAGTAAAACTCACATACTGACTAGCGTCATAACCCCAAGAGAGGAAAAGGACACCTGTATTGTACTTTTCCCAATGAGTTGTTATGAAAACTACTTGAACGCTAATCAAAATACACAACAAATGCACAGGGTTTACACTAAAACACAAGTTAAACTCAATACGACAATAAGAAAAATATAAGATACAAATATAAACTATTGAAGTAAAAAACTAAGCAAAAATTAGCAAAATACAGTATAAATAATGTCGTAACCTGAATTGCCCGCGACCAAAGACAGAAAAAATGGTGACAGTGAATGGTACTGTTGACCAAGAGTCAAGACCATGATCAACTGAAAAAATTTTTTTTAATACACACAAAAGAAAAAACAATTACCTCAAAGACCTCTGTAGTTTAGGCAAATCGAGGAGACGTAAAGTTAACAAAAGAAACCACATTAACAACACTTAAAGCTATACACAGTTCCCCAGTAGGTCCTGATGCTCCTGTTCGGCGGGCTTGCTTACCATCTGTACCATCAAGCGTATGAGCCAAAAAAGTACAAGAAGCACATATTAGCCAAACTATATTCGGAACCGCATCTAGAATTGGCAAATCAAGTGAGTTAAGCACTTCAAAAAAGAGGGATATTCCAAGAGTTTTTTTATAAAGCCAAATGTCCAAAATGTCTAGACAATTAAAAAAAATAAAGGCAACATGTCAAAAAAAAAAAAAGGAGCGAAAAATACTAACTCTGAGAATTAAATACCGAATTTGCGTCAAAAGAATAGTCGAAATAAGATACAATGAAAAATCCCAACATTACTAAGAGCCATCCACATATTGTAAGTACGTTTGGAGCAATCCAAAGCGGATAAAACTAGAGCAACAAAACTTGTAAAATTTGACGCGGCAAAAATAAAAACTTGAAAAGTATCATCATTCGCTTGGAAACGTAAAAGGACTCGAGAATTCATCGAAATAAGAAAAAAGCTTGAATAAATACCAAAATTAAAGTTTTGAATACAGGACTTTTTTTCAACTTTTGGGCATGAAAATGTCATTTAATGATTAATAGCAAATAATTAAAAGTCGGCTGAGCTGATCAAGCTGTAAATTAAAAAACACCAACCTTTACAAGCCAGTTCCAAAACGGATGCGAAATATAGACAGCAAGAGGACTTGTATCAACGGCGCTGTACTGCAAATAAAAAATAAAATTGACAGGTTATCTAAAATAATGCATAACTGACGTACCAGAACTGGTCCTAAATTCACGAACAACCTACAGTAAAGGAATCTTTCAATGATAAAGATATTTTAAAGAGACAAATCATGCAAGTCAGAAACCTTGTAATTGTCAAATCCTTTTAGCTCTCCCTTTGTTAAGTATTGCACATCAAAAAAACCCATAATAGAAAAGTAGCAACTTCTTGTTCAGCAGCGGTGTACCTAAATTTTCTAAAAGTAGTTCTGTTAAAGATACCAAGTTTGCAAGGAGGGGACCATAGATACAACAACGTTGAATAACTATTATCCCAAAAATATTGAAATTCCGTCTTGTATACCTCGCTTAGTACGAAATACGAGTTAAAGAACATGATTGAGAGCAACATTACAGTAAAGGAAACAAGTGAATATTAATTTAAAATTTAAAGATAAGAATGAACAATAAAAAAGATTCATGTAAAACAAAATAAAAACTCATGCAAGAAAAAAAAAGGCAAATCATAAATTAATTACAGTAAAAGTTCATAACAAATGTTATCCAGTCACCGGAGAATCTGCCACGCTACTACTGGCAAAAAAATACCGGTTATTATGCATACCAAAAAATTCTATCTGTTAATATGTTCGCCGTTAACTAATGTGAAAAATGTGGAAAGCACTTGTAAACACATGAAGAAAATAAATAAATAGGCACGAAAGATAACTCAAGACCGTCTTCGGCCTTTATTGTGTCGTAATCCAGCATGACTGAGAGAAATGTTGAAAATAATTTTAAAAAAAATTAAGAACACTGTAACTGTCAATTACTTCCAGTCCACAAACTAAATTCAATCTTTTCTGTCACAGAAAAAAAAAAATCAAAAAAAAAAAAGTGAAAAATAAAATAAACCAATAAAAAATAAAGCACCCACAGATTAGCTGTGATAAAAGTAAACAGTCGAAAAGCAAATTACAGTTTATAAAACTGACACTTTTTTTTGCAACCTGTTAAATCACAGGTGAAATTCATTTGGAAGCAAATATCCCACCAAACAGTAATACATTGTGTTACTGATTAGCAAATGTCCGTCAGTTAAGTAGTAAATGTTATGACAGCAAAACTTACTGGAATTGATTACACAAAGTCCCAGTATCAAGTTCATTAAAACCATACTAATTGGGACACGGCAATAACGCCAGTAACGACAGCAGCATTTGATAACTATCACTCGCAAGCTTTTTTTTTTTTTTTTTTTGCCCTATAAAGAATCTTTTCAGATAAGAGCATCTGATTCCAAACGTTTAACTGACAGTCTATATATGAAGAGAACTGTAAGCAATCAACAGAAATTTGCAAGCCATAGCATAAAAAATTGTTCAAGAACAAAAATTTAAGTTGCAAAGGTTGTTTTCAAAAAGCGTCAATCAAAGATTCAAGTCGAGTATAAAACTGAAAGAAGAATAATTTGTATAGTAATTATCACTATTACATATTCTAAAAGCAGCTATTATAAGTTAAATTGAAAAATAAGCATAAAAGATCTCTAATTTTAAGAAATTATACCGTGCTATAATAAAAAAAAAAAAAACAACGAATACTGCTGTCCAGCGACTAATTATCTTTAGAGCAAAACTCAACAATTTTTCTCCGATTATACGGATAGAAAACAAAGTAAAACTGCAGAAAAATAATATGTCTTTTATAACAGCTAATTTGCAAATAATGATAACAACATCAGTGTGATATGAAACGTAACACAATTCGGTTAATAAATTCTATTGATAATTAAATGAAAATTTTGTTGAGAACAACGTGTCATTCCACGAAAAAATATGCCGAAAACGAGAGGGAATTTATTGAATAAAATATTTCTTTTCTTCTTCTTAGAAAAAAAAATACAAATTTAATAAATTGTTCAACAGTAACATTTTCGTTTTTTTTTTTTTTTTTTTAAAATCTTTATGCTTCAAACTAACCGCATATCTGAATACGAAGCAATTATTGGTAGCAGCAGTTGAACACTACTGGTGAATAATCTAAAAGCTTGGCATCCATTTCGGCAGCACAACAACTTTCCTAAGTAAAAATCTCTGAAAAATGTCAGCACTTTTTCCACTCCATTTCCGCAAAACGAAAATCGAACAACAAAAAAGAAAAAAAAGATCTCTACTAACTAAACAACAAAAGAATGTTAGAAAAGTTTAAAAAAAAAACTTATGATACCAGTATGGCCTTTTCAACAGCAATCTCTCTACAGCAAAGCATCAAAATCAATTGAATTTGCAAGAAAACTACACAAACCAACCATCAGTGAGCAGTAAATAGAAAAGTTGACAGACATGAAGTATAAACAGAAACAAAAGTTTTATAAGAATCAAAGAAAAAAAAAAAAAAAAGAAAACAGCAATTAGACGAAGTCAAGCACTCAGAAAAATGCTGAAAATGAAATTCTTGCATCAAGTACTTCTTTTTTATTCTACAACAATTCAGTATTTCTTTTCACCATACTCCAAACTATTTACCTTTGCAAAAGTGTCAAAGATGATGCCAACAAATGGCCGTGGCCCGTTTTAAAGTAACAGTCCCTGTATGTGACATCTTATCATTCAACTGCTGCATCAACTTTAGCCCATTTTTTTTGGCCTACAAATTTCTTTCTTATTGGCACTAATGAAATGCTTTAAATAAAAAAAATTTCAAAACACAAATAAACCACATTTTTCACCTGTCAGATGTCGCTAGGTTAAAACTAAACATAAACAAAGTAAAAAAATGCCTATTCACTGCTCAGTGAATTGGACTTTTAAAATACCTTCTACACTTGTTGAGCAATATTTTTTCAACGCCTACTTATCGGTTCATTAACGTCCTTTCTTCAAGACGAGACCAGCTTTACACGTTTATCCCCCACTACTTTCTCCACTCCACAAAATTTCCATTCCTTTTTATACAACGATGATACAGTACTTTCTGGAATGGAATCTTTAATGTGCAAAAAATTTTTTTGCTAACTGTACTGCGAACTGTTACCTTCAAAAAAATACAAATTTTTGCAGAATACCTTTTCACATCTCATAACTATGGTCCCAACAAAGGAAAACCATATACTCAAACTTACCGTGATCGCCCTTCATTGCAAACTCGTTTTGATAAGACAGACACCTTTGTAAATAACTCTATCGCATTTTAAATGATTCTTTAGTAAATATGTCAAAATTTTTATTTTAAAATGCTGTCAAATTTCAGATTGTATTTAACAACTTTATCTTATAACTTTGCAGCATCTATTTCAGTGACAGTGGTTGACCCACTTAATTTAATTTTACGCACTATTCAAGATTTCCCAATATCTAATTTTCAATCTCCTATCAACACTTTTCACTTCCATTAGACACTAAATCATTCTTTCCAATATTTTTCCTCCTAGGAGTTTCCTTAAACCATCCACCCTGTTTCTTGTCCTTTATTACCCTCAAGTCTCTGTGACCGCACTTTAAAAGCTTACCACTTCCTTAATCATTCTGCTGTCATTCGCTCCTCAGTTAAATACTAAGTTTTGAGTCCTAAACTACCATGTGTTACCTTTGTCCCCTCATGAATGACTGAAGAGCAACAAAGAAATCAACTTGGGCCACAGCCGTTCCCAAAATTGAAAACCCACTGTTTTACCCTTTAATGAAGTGCATTTTTGCAA